ACTCCAACGTGCTCCTGTGGAGCTGACTATTATAGGTCGTTCTATGAGCATCCTTTTAAAACGTGTTAGACTATGCCACCAGCACGACCAGTTTGATCAGAAGCGATACAGTTACACACCTTGTCAGCAACTAACTCAACATGTTAATGGACTCATCGTTTACAGTCACTCACAAAGTAAAGCGGTATCTGCTAAAGCAGTACGTTTCTTAGTACTCAAAGGCCCTCGTCACATGCATCGAGAAAGTGGAGCTAGTGCAACCTCTGCATCTACCATGTATTTAGTATTGCTTAATCCCTTATTTTCTTCGTATTTTTTTAACCTTCAGCGTTGGTGTCACAGTGGTTAGGACTCTCGCCGACCGTGCACATGGTCCGGGATTCGATCCCCTGCCGACACACACCCGATATCTATGGTCGGTCTGCAAAATTTGGGCTACCGATATCACATGCTGAAAATACCATACTTGTACCGAAAATACGGTGTGGTATCAAGCTGTATTCAAAAATAAATAAAATATAATATTATCTCAACCTGTTTCTATGCAGAGCCTGACCACCCCGTCTTCAGTAGAATCTATTGTAAACATAGCGCAACTATTTTCCTAACCCTACATTATTTTGGTTCCTATATCCCTTGTAATTTGTATTCATCGCTCGTCATACCTGCGAACTCCGTTATCAAAGTGAACATCATTCTCTCCTTTAAATCTTACCATCATTACTGTATGCAGAATTACGTAATAATTTTAAGTATGCTAATTTATGCGTAGAAAATTCCGACTGTACAGTTTTTGAGAATGAAATCACCGGGGAGAAAATGTTTGCTGAACTTCTTATTTTTCTTTTTTTAATGTTCTTCTGGGTATTTTCTACAATTGTTTTGATCTTGAACATATTTTCCGGACCGATAGTTGCTAGCTTGACGTGGTGCTCGGGCTGGCATATCGCAATGACCCGACAAGCTACACTGGCTGAACTATTGTTCCTGCAGTTGCTACCATACCAGGAAGGTTGTTAGGATAGCGATTAGACTAAAAGCAGTTACCGAAATTGTGTAAGAATTTTTTTACACTATGCTGGGGGGTCTGTGGGTGAAGTCGTACTCCTGGGGAACAGGGATGTAACAGCAGTAAGGTGTTTCCCTCAGATGACCAGCAATGCTGTCCCTCCACTCCGGAGAGAAGGGTTTAGAAAAGGTCGACCCCAACAACTGTACATCCCGACTTACCCTACGGTGATCCGTAACTGGCGGTAAGTTTACTAATACGGAACCAAACCAAGAAACCAGTTCATACATGCCGTGTGACCACCCTCAAGCAGTTGTTACCTGGGCTCGGCGGTCACGCAATACTAATCCTCTCTCTGTTTCAGGTACCCAAAGAATCAATCAACTTCGACAGTGTGGGCAACCGGGAAGTAACAACCGCCCACACACTTCCAAAAGCACACGAGGCCTTCCTGAGTATCATTCTCCTCAATCCACATCAGCTTATTCCACTACTACAGTTAGTACTATTCTTCAGGATAGTGAGGCACCTTCACTTCACTCTGTGACCACAAACAACGACGAGAGCCATAGAAACACCCTGACAGACTCTTAAAGCCATGTCGCTAACTTCATATAGGAGAACTTAACGTCAGGACCCTCTGCCAAATCGGACAACAGGCATTACTAGCAAGAACTCTGGCATCTTGAGCCATGGATGTATGTTCTGTTTCGGAAGCACGCATACAAGACCCGAGTGTAGTCATTCACTTAACTTTACCTGGCCAAAAAGGTGAACCTACAAAATCCACTTTAAGGGTGTCAGGATACCCCTCAGCTAGTTCGCGAGGACTCGCAGGTGTAGGGATAGATTTGAGTGTTAGGGCAGAAAAATCACTTATTAACTGGATCCCAGTAGATAGTCGTATGTATGCGACCCGTCTGAACGAGTCCGTTAGAAGAAGGAAGGACGGTGTTACCCGTCGTTGTCTTTCCGTAGTTTCCGCTTATACCTCAACAGACTGCAGTTTCGATGAACTAAAGGATGATTTCTAACTGAAACTGTCTCATTTGCTGTAAAAAGCAAACCGTTTAGATATAATTGTTTTAGCAGGCGACTTCAATACCCAAGTAGGGAAGTTGTGCCAGACGAACCGACAGCGGTGATCGTCTTCTGCAGTTCTGTTCAGATAATCATTTGTTCCTAGTCAGCACTAACTTTAGACACAAAGAGAGACATTGTGTAACTTGGCGACCTCCATCACCAAATCAACGCTGGACTCAGATAGACCACATAGCCATAGGGTATCATTGGCGAGGGTCAGGTCAGTAGAAGACTGCCGATCCTTCTGGAACATGTGCGTAGATTCTAATCACGCCCCCTGCTTACGATTAAACGGACATCAAAAATTGTTGGCAGCGAAACAGTTACGTCCCCAACTAGATCGAGACACTGAGTCCCTATTTAAGGAGGGAATAGCGAAACGAGTACCTAAGGTCGACAGCAGGACTTCACCTGAGGTAGCCAGGCACAACATACAGTTAGCTGTAGACACAGCTATTAATAACTTGAAACCAAAAGTTAGTAAGAGCCATTGGATTTCTACCGCCTCATCAGAATTGATTGACGCCAGAAGACTGATTCCAGCTCCGATTATGATGAGGAGCGAAAGATACTCAAACGAAAACTAACAAGAAACCTTCGCAACGACCGTGAACAGTGGTGGGCGGCAAGAGATAGAAAAGACATCGGCGATTGGTAACACCAGACAAATATTTAGACCTGTCAAGGAAACAGGTAGCAAAAGGAAAACGATAAGTGAAACAAACTCTGAGAAAAATGGAACCATAATCGGCTCCAGGATAAACAACTAGAACGTTGGGAAGAAAACATTGAGGAGCAGTTTATTTGGCCTGAAACCATACTCAACTAACCGAACATGCGACACCGCCCTGAATGGTATTCAAACACAGGTCCTCCGTCCCTAACTGAGGTTACTAAAGGTGTTACTACTCTAAAACGGGGAAATCAGCAGGACCTGATGGAATGACTCCTAAGATATTTAAGTACGGTGGGGACAGTATACTCTCTGCGTTAACTAAGGTATTACGCATCATCTGGGAATCAGATGAAGTCCCGTCGGGTCGGTGCAAGTCACTGATTATCCCCATATACTAGAAGGGAGACAGGTCTTCCTGTGATAATCACAGAGGAATTAGCTTGACTAATATAGTATCTAAAGTACTAGGCTCAGTAATATTGCGTAGACTACGTATTGCTCGGGAGGAACAAACACGAGAGCCAGGAAGGATTTAGACCAGGGAGAGGGTGTATTGATCATATCTTCACCCTTCGACAGGTGCTGGAAAGGAACATAAGCATACTTACTGGAGTACAACAATCGTTATATTTCTTGACCTAAAGGTAGCATTCGATTCTGTCGACTGAGAGGTATTATGGCGATACTTGGCTGTAAAGGGAATGCCGAGAAAATACATTGCACTGATCAAGACATTCTACTCGTACTCATGCAGCCAGCCAAGTGAGAGCTTACAGCGAGTCATCATCCGAAGTGGTGACAACTAGTGGTGTCCGTCAGGGATGCCCATTATACCCATTTTTATTCAATTTCATCAATATTATTATTTTATCCTTTAGTTCCTAGAGGAACATAGGGCTTCAGCTGCGAGTCACCATTGCCTTCGGGTTTCCGCCAACTTTTTCACTCCGCTCCAAGCCTGCCCACATACTTCCATCTCCTCCTCGCATGACCTCCTCCAAGTCACCCCACTCTCGTACTGACGACCAACTCGCCGCCCGCTTCCCTTTCGGGTTCCACTCGAACAATGGCTTGTCTAGTGATGTCACTCACTTGATGGTTTCCTCAGAGTATGGCCAGCCAATCCATCTCCATTTCTTCCTGCCTATTTGTTTTACAATCGGTTCCAGCTGGGTTGGTTCGCTCATTACCAGAGATCCCTGTTGCTGATCTTTTCTGGCCGGCCATCTGATCTTGAGGGGTATTGAGCGAAGACAACTGTTAATGAAGGTCTGAAGTTTGTTGGAGATGTTCTTTATGACGCGTCAAGTCTCTGATCCGTATAGTAGCACTGACTGATTTCACATTGGAGCTGAAAATTCGGATCTTATTTTCAATTTCATCATAGATGTACTAATGGACTTAACCCTAACTCACTTCAGAGACTCAGGGATTGACTTGTTACTAGAGAATGATCTCGTTGACTTGGAATATGCAGATAATATAGTCCTCCCACCTGGGTGAAGACGCTGACAAAATGCAGAGTTTTCTGAACACCTTGATTTGTAGTCTGCGAATGTTTGGCATGTGATTCGCTCCCGCCAAATGTAAGATGATGCTACAGGACTTGACTACAGTGGTTCTTAGCTCGGAAATAGGGAGTGAAGTGGTTGGTGGAGCATGTTGACCACTTCACTTATTTGGGAAGTTGTTTCAGCCCCAACTAGTTGATCGCCGATGAAATCTCATCACGGATACAGAAAGCTTGTTTCGCGTATGCCAGTTTACGCTGTCTCTGGCATAGACGTGATATCCGGCTGCCTATCGACCGAAGGGCGTGTGTACTGCTCAGAAGTCCGCTCCGTCCTCCTTTATGGATATGATACCTGGCCATTGAGAGTGGAAGACATGAAAAGACTGACTGTTTCTCATCATACGTGCCTGCATTCTATCTCCTGGGTGAAATGGTATAATAAGGTGAGCAATATTGAGGTTAGGTGTCGAGTGCTAGGTAAAGAAGGGAAATCAATAGACGAGGCTGTGAAGTTACATCGACTGAGATGGTTAGACCATGTGTCTGCCTAGCCATCGCCTTCCCCTACGGGCAGTGTTAGCTGACATAGGATGGATCAGGTTAGAAAAAGTGAGCTAATGGTGGTCAGACGAAGACACGGATTCATCAGTCAATGAAATCTACAACAGTTAGTTTAAGCCACGTAGCAAGGTGTAGACTTCTTGGTTGGGGTCCTCCGGACGGTAAAAACCATGGTTGGAGATAATCGGTGATATGGTTCAAAATCGTTCTCAATGGTGCAGACGCAATCACCCTTGTGACTTATAATTTCCAATAAAACCACATTGTTCTTCGACATTGCTATTCTTTTGGCCTCATACATTTGTTTACTGTCTCTATTTACTTTCTTCTTCTTCTCTAGCTTTGTGTGCTGAGTTAAGTGTGGCGACACGAACTGCTGTCCATCGGTGCAAAGTTCTATATTGAAACCAGACAGACAGATTAATCATATTTTGCTTTTAAGCACTAATTAGTACAGGTATCAGGCGAAAATCTCTCTTTACTGCATGCCGAAAAATATGCTTCATAAGCAACCTATTTTGTGTAGGAGTGGGGTAAAAAAAAGTCGATAAAGAAATTACTAAAGTTTTATACAGACCTACCATACAGATATTAAAGGTTTGCTTTTGTTTTCTTTCTTCAAATAATATCAAACAAAATATACCATCACAAAATACACTAAAAGTACACGCATCACAGTAAGTGTTGTGCATATAACTTATAACTTGATATATCCTAACAATAGACCATCAAAGAATAACAAAGAATAATTCAAAGTGCAAAGAATACAAAAATACAGATCATACAATAGGCAACGAGGCTTGTTTTACTCGAAGTACAACAGGAACAGAAGTGGTAGGTAGAGTGCCTTTTTCAGTTACTACAGCTGTGACAAGTGTAGGCGGCAGAACATCATATTCCAAATGCAACAATCTAAGCTTCGGATTTGAACGCCAGTCGCACAAATCAGTTGTAACTGACCCATTTCTGTCTACCAACCCTGTAGGACCGTAACCAGGAATGCCTATTTTGTAGTCAGATGATGTGCCTCGGGGGCCACGCCAAATATCATCAGGATCTCCAAGTTCGTTGTATTCAAATGCATCGGAATGAGCCCGTTCCCAAAATTTGTAGGTTTCAGCACAAACCATCGTTGGAGCATGCGAAATAGCAGCAGCAATATTGGCCACTTGAGCAGTTCCCATACGTCCAAGCACATAACCATTGCTAAGAAGCGCGTGGGCGCCCACGATAACCAGTGATATCTAAATTGAAAAAAATATTAAAACATGTAGATTTAAAGGAGCTAATGGGAAATTAAAATGGACTAGTTATAAAGCTGAGTATTGAATAACAGTCAAGTTATCAGCCGCTCTTTCAATCTTTATGACTGTGCAATAGCTCTTGCAAGTGGAAGACACGAATAGTCTAAACAGCTTTGGCCACATGTGTTCACCTTCCGTCTTATGTTAAGTGGCATAGTATGGTGAATAATATTGAGGGTTGGTGTAGTGTTAGGTAATGAGGGAAAATCGGTTACTGGTGTTATGGAGCTGAGTCGATAGAGATGGTCAGGATATGTGTTACGCAGACTGAGCCATTACCGTTCTCTTCGAGTATAGTTAGCCAGCATAGGATCAGGTTGGAACAAAGTTATTATTAATCCCTTGGTCTCCGAATGGAACATACGACTTCAGCAGCGCACCTCAATTCTATCTGGTTCTCTGAAGTCTTTTTCAACTGCATGATTCCACCTAAGCTTTTCTTTCCTTCACATACGATATCACGCTAGGACACCCAGATTGTAGTTTTCCATACAGGTTCCACTCAATGGCCTAGTGCATGATCCTACTCAATCGCCTTCTTAGCGTGTTTCCAATCCATCTCAATTTTTTGCATATTTGTTGGGTAAAAGGTTCTTGGCAACTTCGTTTCTAGATTTCCTTCTTGCTTTCCGTTTATGGCCAGCCATCTGATCTGCAATATGAGGTCAGTGAATATATCTATCCATGAAATTCCTCAGTCTGTTGTCAGTACTTTTGATGACGCGCCAAGCCTATGAACCACGTGGAAACACCGGCTTGACATTGATTCTGAAGCTCCTGATCTTCTGAGTGCAGTGGATTTCCACACTGCCTTACTTTTCATATCCTGATTGGCTTTGACATTCTCATCTGTAGTTGAAACGATACTGCTTACATAAATGAAAGAGGTAGCTTCTCTTAGATGCTTGTTATTGTTAATTGGATTTTTTCATCACTCCTGTCTTCTCTATGTTTACTTGAAGACCTGTCTTCACTGCTTCTTATACCAACTTGTTCATTTTCGCTTGTAGGTCTTCGGGTTTCTGTGATATTAGACATACATTATTCGCGTAGTCCAGATACTCTAGAGTCTTCTTGTTGGTTCAAAGAGTGCCGGTCCTCTGGCTCCCCACGTATTGACTGTTGCATAACCTAATTCATCACAGTCAAGATCAGATCATTAGAGATAGTGATGGCAGCGTTTTACTCCCTTCACTTCAAACACTTCACTGAGCTTTCTGTTGTGAATCACTTGGCAGGCACTATCATTACTATTTAGCAGTTGAATGAAGTTGATATAGATATGGGGCACTCCGTAGTGCTGAAGGAGTTGAGCAAAAATAGTTGTCTGCCACTGTATGTTCTGTACGATGATGATGTGTAGTGTTGCACTTTGAACCGCACATGGTTTGCTTTTCTTGAACCCATCTTGTTTGAGGTGGAGTTTCGCAACTGTGGAACTTTAAGTCTTTCTAGGATAACGCAATATAATATTTATTTTGAAGTGAAGAGGGGAATCATTCCGCGCCAGGTTTTGCAGAGGCACAAGTCGCCCTTCTATAGCAGGGGTCAGATCAAAACATTGAATCAATCTTTGCCTATCGGTTTGAACCACTTAGAGAAGTGTAGCTTGCCTGGTTGAGGTCCTCCGGGATGCTTAGAACCAATGGCCAGAGAATGTTGTATATATATATAAGATGAGGAGGAAATCAACCATACGACTATACTAGGGGTATATTGCGGTATCTGTTATATTCGTTCATATTTTAAACAGTTCAAAAATATAGTTAGAGACTTCATAATCTATTTTCATCCCTGCGATAGCTTTAACAGAAGAATATGATTACAACAAATATTTCATACGCATAACTTGGGATGATTTGCAAACATCTTAGTTGACATAGATTATCGATGATGCAGAGTGGTTCACTTTGAATGCTGTTTTGTTCATTCGGATGTGGCGGGAAAATAGTTAGCTGTAAACATATGGAATGTAGGCATGATTACGCAATGATTCAAGCCAACACATTTCATATCTATCCGGGAATATGGAGGAAAGCAAAATATAAGGGTTAGACTAAAATAAAGCGACCCAAGGAAACAACCTAGTATGAATCAAGCAAGCATATCGCGATTATACGATTCAACTCTGCAGAAAGGATTTATGGATGAAATCCACGATTATAGTACAAGTGCATTAATAATACCAATAACTCAACGTAATGTGATAAGCGGAACAACTATCTACATGGATGAATGAAGTAGTTAAGGACGGTTGTCGTCATTCTGTTTTCATGATTTTTTCGATGAGATGTACATCAATTCCATAGGAGGATTCTGGAGGCATTTGATAAACAGAATTCAAGAAATAAATAGGTCACGAAATGACATGATGTGTGGTCATCTGAATGAATTCATGTAGATTAACTGATTTGAAGAACCTAGAAGACCTGGATTTTGCTTGTGGATGATTTATGTTTGATGTCACACAAAGTCGAAGACTTACAAGCGAAAACCGACAAACTGGCCGAAGAAGCAGCCGGCGAAGACAGGACTCCAGGTGAACATAGACAAGACGGAGGTGATGAAAATAACCAACCAACAACAACAACATTCAGCGCCAATCACCATCAACGGGAGGTATTTGAAAGAGGTTGCTTCATTCACTTATCTAGGGAGCATTGTCTCAACTACAGGAGGAGAAACGGACGAGGATGTCAAATCGAGCGAGAATCGGGAAGGCGAGAAACATATTCACTCATCAACCTGAAACCAATATGGAAATCTTCGTCACTCAGCATCAACAACAAAATTCGGTAGGATTTTCAATACAAACATCAAGTCAGTTCTTGTAGACGGTTCAGAAACTTGGTGGGTCACAAAGAATATTTCCAACAGCCTGTTGCAGACCTTACCTTTATCAACAGCTGACTTCGCTAGATCTATACTGAAGATCAGATGACCGGGCTGGAAAGAATCACCAACAAGAAACTATGGGAACAAACAAACAAAACAAGAACCAATCGCCAGCCAATAAATATGCAGGAGAAAGTGGAGATGGACACTCGCTGAGGAGGCCGCTGGGTGACATCGCGCGCGTGTCAGGTCGTTGCTCGAGTGGAACCCGAAAATGAAGCGGCGAGTGGGACGTCCAAGGGTGACATGGAGGAGATCGTGTGAGGAGGAGTTGAAACAGTGTGGAGTAACATGGAGACAGGTGAAAAGTATAGCAGAAGACAGAAGCAAGTGGAGACGTGCAGTTAAAGCCCTATGTTCCACTAGGAACCCAAGGGAACAGTAGTAATAATATAAGAACTCCAAATGACGAAATGAGAGACACTTCTAAAAGATATGATGCGTTGGTATTCTGTATAATCATTTTGCATTACTTCGTTTATTTTCTATAGGAATTTCTATTCAAATAACAGCATTTTACTCTACAACTCATCTGATTATTTGTTCAAAGTAATTTGGTCGGTCGTTGGCTTGGGTCGCTATACTTTAGTCTAGACAACACAAGATAATAGACAAAGCTAAAAAAGATGAGTAGTGAAACGAAAGCACGGCAACCAAAACCTCTTTCACTATTTAAATACAAAGTGAACGTTAGCCGCTGCGAATGATTCTATAGAAAACGTTAAATACAGTCTTCAAATACCGACCAAAAGACCAACGTTTTCATATACGCTTCAAGTTAGTAGTGAGAGACTGGACAGATAGTAAGCCTGCCTTCAATCGAGGTTACACTGACATACATAATATATATGACGTGTAACCCTCATATGATTGGGTTCTTTAATTACTTTACCAATAGGTTTTTAATTACTAAAATACTGACTTCCTGATACATAGTAATCACAACGAAAACGACTATTTAAGTAATACGAATACATTTGAATGTAATTCAGGTATTTCCTAAACTGTTCCTTGTGTGATCTCTCTAAATCCACTAGTAGCTACTCTCCAAGCTTGAAAACAGTTTCCAAACATTCAAGCAACAGGAATGTGATGTTCGTAGTAGACAACTTTAATGTGTAAAACTGCAGAGAAACAGGACAGAAAATCACTTACGTGACAATCTCTGAACCTCAGCTTAGATAATCATATCTTATAACCCGTCGACCGCTGACGTCAACTTGATGTAGACATACATATACGACTATCAGTTGTTATTACAAAGTGTCGATTCAATAATGTTGCTCCTCCTAAATTACTTTGTTTGCACACTGACCATATTGTGATTTAAACACCAGTAATATTAAATCTTAATTCATGCAGAAAAAAGTCACAAATCGATGTCAGTTAAGCTCAACAGGAATAAATTAAAAGGGTATTTACAGAAAAAATAGTCAAGCAGTCATTAGAATGTCATAGCGTTACATATTTGAAGCGTAATCGCGAGTTTAGTCTGTTGTGAAAACACAACAGGAGACAAGGGCCTTTCTTTCAGAGGTAAACTTCAACAAGATAATCGGTGCCAGTGTAGCCATGTTACACATCCACACACTGAAAGTCAGCTTCCAGACCAGAACTATTTCGTGACTAGAATCTGTGGAGATACACATCAAGCCGTCAGCCATGAAGAGGAGCTGGTGGTGACAGCAAAGAAAAAAACGCAAAGAATTAAAAGAAAATTAAAGACGGTTCACCATAAAAACAAAGTTATGACAAACCGAGCATTCAAATACAAGTTGCTGGAGCTTAGGGTTGAAATTAATTTTCTATAGAATTAGCATTCGACATTCCGTGCAGGGACCGAGATAATATACAGACGTCCATACTGAAAATGATGTTTGTGTAATGAGTACACCTTCCAAGCCTTTGAAATGAAGTCGAGACATCAGTGCAGGGAGCTGCGCTTCAATGGTTGTCGGTGATCGAAATAGGCTTATGTCACACTTGCACTTTTTGTATCTTGGAGGCTAAGTGTGCCAGTCGCGGCCGTGAACTACTACCTTGACGTAGTGGTCAGGTGTGAATAACGTAGTAACCCAACAACGTGCTACCATGCCAGGAAGGTTGCCTGGATAGATTTTTATTACATTTTATTTACCTAAAACAGTACCCGGTACAATATGGCACCAAAAAGATGCACGACAGAATAATAATAAAACAACATATGAGAAAAAGGTAGAGAATGAATAAAGAACTTCATCTGGGAAGAAAACATTCATATTTGACAAGACCGAACAGCATTAATTAAATATTGTCAAAAAAAGGAAGAAGGAAATTGCAGCACGTTCACCATTGATTGCGGTTCTTCACCATATCCGATAACGTTTCGAGCTATCTCTTGGACCCCAACCAGGGAGTCGTGACGCACTAACCGATGCCAGCCTACCACAAATGTCCTTCATCCCAAGACGCCACGTTATGAGCTGACCACCTCTCCGCTTTCCGATCCCGTCCCAAGGATAGCCAACAGACCGGTATGAAAGCCTCTGGGGTGACATTCATAGCATATGTCCAATTCACTGGAGCCATTGTTTCCAGATGACGGTACTCAAGGAATGGTGAGTTCCACTGTGTCCAAACACGCCGCCGGTCCATCCCAAGCAAAATACTAAGCCATATCATCCTAGAGAGAATCGAACAAGCCCTGGATGAAAAACTTCGACCGGAACAAGCTGCATTGAGGAGAAAGAAGTCATGTATTGATCAAATCGCCACTCTACACATCATCGTTGAACAAAGCTTGGAATGGAAGTCACCTCTCTATCTCAACTTCATCGACTTTGAAAAGGCCTTCGACGGCGTCGATTGAGAGGTCATTTGGCGACTACTTCGCTACTACCAAGGGATCCCATCGACAATTATACATTTCGTCCAACAGTTATACGACAATGCTGCATGCCAAGTAATCCACAACGGGAAACTTACGGAAGCCTTCAAAGTGAGGACGGGAGTGAGGCAAGGCTGTTTACTATCGCCAATGATTTTCCTGGTTGCAGTAGATTGGATAATGCGACAGACAACGGGCAATGACGAAACAGGCATAAAATGGACTCACACAAAAATCTTGGAGGATCTGGACTTCGCCAATGATATATGTCTGATTTCCCACAAACTGGAAGATATGCAAGTGAAAAGCAACAAGCTGGCAGAAGAAGCATCAAAGATAGGACTTCAGGTGAACATAGATAAAACAGAGGTGATGAAGATTCCTGGCCAACAACAACAGACAACAATCAGCATAAATGGAAGAAACCTGAAAGAAACAACCTCCTTTACCTACTTGGGAAGCATCGTTTCAACTACAGGCGGAACTGACGAGGATATCAAAGGCAGAATAGGAAAAGCAACAGAAGCTTTTATTACTCTTAAGTCTGTGTGGAGGTCAACATCACTCAGCATCAAAAATAAGATCCGGATTTTCAACTCCAATGTGAAATCAGTCAGTGCTATTATACGGATCAAAGACTTGACGCGTCATAAAGAACATCTCCAACAAACTTCAGACCTTCATTAACAGTTGCCTTCGCTCAATACCCCTCAAGATCAGATGGCCGGCCAGAAAAGATCAGCAACAGGGATCTCCGGTAATGAGCGAACCAACACAGCAGGAACCGATTGTGAAACAAATAGGCAGGAAGAAATGGAGATGGATTGGCTGGCCATACTCTGAAGAAACCATCAAGTGAGTGACATCACTAGACAAGCCATTGTTCGAGTGGAACCCGAAAGGGAAGCGGGCGGCGAGTTGGTCGTCAGTACGAGAGTGGGGTGACTTGGAGGAGGTCATGCGAGGAGGAGATGGAAGTATGTGGGCAGGCTTGGAGCGGGGTGAAAAAGTTGGCGGAAACCCGAAGGCAATGGAGACTCGCAGCTGAAGCCCTATGTTCCTCTAGGAATTAAAGGATACAATAATAATAAATAATAATAATCTAGCTAGTACCAACTTCCGGCACAGCCAACGCCGTCGCACTACCTGGTGCCCTCCCTTCGTTAATCAAGCCTGAACTCAGGTTGATCATATTGTTGTCAGTTCCCGACGACGAAGATATGTGCAGGATTGCCGCTTCTTCTGGAGCACATGCCTGGACTCCGATTATGCTTAAGTGTTTGCCAGGCTCGTCTTGAGATTTGGTGGGGCTCATAAACAGTGTCATCTACATGTTGATGTGCCATATTGTACCGGGTACTGTTTTAGGTAAGTAAAATCATAATGTACCAGTGGTTTCTAATAAGTCTTTCGGAATAGTCTTGGGTGAACCAAGTAATAACATCGGTCCCATGAACCACCAAACGCGTGAATTCGCGGATGAGAACTGACTTAACAGAGGCTTTGAGCACGTATTCGCATAAGAATTTGTTAAGAGGAAGAGGAGAGTCCACAAACCGCCAATCGGAAGTCACTTATGGGAGAATTGTCAGCATATTTCAGTAGCTTCACTCGATATAAAGTAATAGAGGAAGGAGAAAACCAGACAAAAGCATAAGTGAAAGTAGTTTAGCTTTTGAATGAAAAAGAATCTATCCATTAACCTTGAACAAAGTTGAACTAATAAGATAATGAGAAGAGGTCGATGTTAAAAAACACTGAAAAACTATTTACAATGGAAACGAAAGCGATTGTGGATGTTGAAACTATCTCAAAGCAGACAATGTCCACAAGAAAGAGATTTGAGACGACCAGTGCCTATTACTTATTCCCAGCTCGCCTTTCTAGGTATTTTATTTCACTTTAACTGGGTTGGAACAGGACTTCGAAGTACTTTAGTGCCAACTGTGAAATTTATTCGATATGGATTTAACCTGATTGTCCTATTTTTAAGACCCATACAATTACACTACTTGAACTTACCTCACTAACAAAACAAGTTTGCACATATATACATTAAATTTATATAAAATTAACAATAACTTTAGTAAAATACCATTATTGGAACAGGTTAAACAATAATTTGTTCATACCTTGTTAGCGACACTAGGTAATGCGCCAATGTGTGTGTACTCGCAGGGTATACCTGCCTTAGACAATCTGTTTAGCATTCGTCTCCCTTCAAATTTGGGACGGGAATCAACAACCAAAACGCTGAATACTCTATTTGTGGTTCTACTTTCCAGATCTGGTTTACCGTCTACACGACATGTTTTCATTTTGTTTGCCAATAAACCATTTACATCAGCTTGATTGATAGATGGGCTATATGATGACTTCCATGCCTTTTCCAAGACTTTGGCCACTAGAGATGAATATCCAAATGTACAAACACATTCACCAGGGCGAATCAAGCTGACTGTACGGTCTACAATTTCGTCGCCTGCCAGAAAGATGGAACTACGTCTAAATTCATCAATAGCAGACAAAAAACTCACTCGACACTACAAAAGAAGAAAAAGAGATCGATATATAATAATGGAACTTACACCTGGAATAAAAATGAAGAGCCTTAGATCCATCGAGTACAAACTGCTAACGTCAGGATATGTTCGCATACTGTGATGTGAAAAAAGTAAGAGAGTTAACTACTTTACTCACCTGAGATGTCGCATCAGTTTCTTTGGGTTGATGGTCTGGTTGGAGTCAGTGTTCCAGTTATAGCAAAGGTGAGATGCCCCACTGAGGACCGAAAAGCATGAATTCTGCAAAACTCCAACTACTTGAATACAAATGCATTACCCATGTTAGATACAACCACTACACGTGCAATGCAGATGTGGCGCGAAGTCCACAGTAGGACAAGTATGTTGGCCAACAGATCTCTAGAATCCCATCAGTTGAAATGACCACGAGATGTGTATTCCACGCCCATTAATTTCAGAGTGCCACGGTAATGAAGGTGGGCTTAAATTGGGAAAAAGTGAAGGGTAACCAGCCTAAGATGTGGATGGTAACAACTGATGACGTCAGCAACTACCTGTCTGGGCTTTATAAGTTATAATGTGGTGGTGTGATACAAACAAAGTGTTCCAGCGGATTGTTATTACCACAGTTCAATGCAGCAGTAGCAACAGAATACTATATGTGTATTTGAACATTCTATTTCATGTCGTACAGTGTAAGCCAAAATCACACGCCCAGTGATTGGTTAACGAATATAAACAGCGGTTTGATGAATTGAAAATACACCTTGGCTTCCGTATCTTGCCTTCTGCTATTACAGTATAACCAAAACAGATCATTTTCGTGCAGACGCACTTATACTTTATCTCTATTGTAATTGTAGTATTACATATTTCCACCTGCCCTTTGTTTTCTACAAGTTTTGGAGTACTTCACAAAAGGAGATGCTATAGCTGTCACTGTAATATCTCTCACTTAATTTGCAAGCGACGAATGGTGAGTGCGATTAGTGAAGAAAGGGGTTTCGTAGACAACAGGTGTTTTTTAGGGAATTTACTATTACTATTGATGGTCTAAAATACTTCCAATGATTTTGAAATTTTCAAATGACATCCTTCTTCAGTATTCCAGTAGACTTTTCTTCTGTTTATCACGGGTTTACGTCATTTCTATCTGATAATGCGCATTCTCGGTAGTAATTTTTTTTATCGGGAAACAACATTTATTTCTTCAGGTTGGAGAAGTCACAATACAAACTCCTTGAATGTATGTAAACAACAGTATTACAATGGACATGAGAAATTAAAGGTATATTAACTAAAGTCAGAGAGCCGAGAAGCGTCGGTGGTACAGCGGTTAAGACGCTCGCCGACCATGCACATGGTCCGGGGTTTGAGCTCCGGCCGGCGCACACCTTTACCTCGCTAAGCCAGTAGTGAGACTGGTAAGGAGGAAAGGTTGGGCTTGAGGCTAGCAACCCCATCCTGTAAAAAAATCAACACTGCTACGGAATCTTCAAGCCTATAGCTTGGAGCCCTATGTTCCACTGGGAACGTGAAGGAAAAAAAACTAAAGTTTATTTTTCTGTATTTCGAACCAAAGGCTTCCAATTCACTAGTCCGGTGCTCTACCGCGTAATTTACGAAACCCTTAAGACAGACATAGAAAAATGAGATAAAACTTATAGCATTGTGCCACTCCACACAAATCCTTAGCAAAAGGAGGAAGATTTATCCATGAATGAGAAGATACTGCATCACTACTAAAGCCTCAAAGCTTGAGAGTTGCGTGAGGGAAGTATGACAATAACAGAACGATCTCGTTAGCTGTATTAATAAATCTCAATCTTTCAAAGTAATGTAATTATTAAGTAGATGAAAATACCCTGCAACTTCGTTGAATTCACAAAAACAAATCAATTCGGGGGGGGGGTACTGATGTAACATCATTAAATTTAGAAATAGAACATACGAGAATTTACTGAATAATAGTCATTTTATGTTTTAAGAAACTGAAGAGAACCCTAGTAACATAACCAATAAAATGTTTCTTTTGGTACCACAAACATACCTCTTCCCAGTCTTCTACAGAATCTAAACGAGTGAGCGTCTGCTTTAAGTATTGATAAGCATTATATATTGTAACGGAGAGTGGACGACAGAGTTTGAGAAAGTTTACATGAGTTTGGAGGACTGGTCCGAAATTCCGGCAAAAGAGAGTTTCATTTGTACCAATGTGATTACTCATTTTTTCATCACGTGACCTCGAAGTAAATGAACGCACGAGTTCTTCACAAGATGATAAAAACGTCAAACATCTTTCGTTGGATCCCCGTATTCGCCCCTCGTCAAAATCAACACCCAGAGCGAGAAAGGAAGGATGGATGGGAGAATGACTGCCTAGACTAAAGAAAAAAGGATAATGAAAGGAGAGGATCAATAGTTGCAAACTGTACATAAATATAGTTGTATCGCATGATCTGAAGGGTCAATATTTTTAGTACTTTTTTATGCTGCCTTTTTTATTTTAACTGCTTTAAATGTCTCAGATAAAATTAAACAATATAGTACAAGAAGTTGGATACAAGTCTAGCAATCTGGTCCCATTTCATTTGGAACGTATCACAATGAAAGTTACCTTACTTTTCAGGATGCTTGACCCACAGAGTTTCAACAAAGAAATTAGCACATAAGCGAATCAGTTCAAGTTGCCACATTCCAAGTAGCACATAAAGGTAGACAAAAGAGAGAAAACAGGTATTCATCAGCACTATACTAAGCAGAAATGCACGGAAGGAAAAGTAACACCGAAAAATATGACAACTCAGTGGATATGGGAAGTCTCTAAAAAGTGCATCCGTCTGTGTATTAAGAACAATCTTGAGCGATATGTACAATAGTCTCCAGACACTGGATCTTAGCAACCGGAAAACTCAAACTAGGGAAGCTACGTGGCTAGAGCTGTCAAAGATTTCTTGGGCTAGGGACATATTTCAGTTTGACCATTCCTAAACTTCCAAAAAATAATCCTATATAAAGGAAGGCGGTTGCACGACATATGTATCCTAGCCATTTCAATCGAAATCCATCACAACCTTATCGATTTGCTCATCCTCCTTAGATAACACTACACCTCTATTTTTCAACACATTACACTATCTAGCACGGGAGATAGAACGCAGGCACACATGATCAAAGACAACTACCCGGGCTTATCATGTCTTCCGCTTTCAATGGCCACATTTCACAGACATAAAGGATGACAGATTGAACTGCTGAGCAGTATACACGTCCTTTGGTCGACAGCCGGATATCACATCTACGTCAGAAAGGGGGTGTGTTGGCGTATGTCAAACGAGCTGTGCTGAAATTTCGTCGGTATTCAACCCGTTGCGGTTGATAGAACTCCCCGAATAAGTGGTCAACACGCCGTACCTATTTGATTCTTATCTTTAAGCCGGTACAGTTTGGTCCTGAAGCTTTATCTTACATTTGGCAGGAGCGAATCGCACACCAGACGCTCCAAGATTTCCAGTCAACATGTTCAACAGACTCCGCAGTTTATCAGCGTCTCCACTTCAGAAGAAAATATCGCTCACATACTCGGAATTGACGAGATATCATGGTAATCAGTCAATCCTCTAGTCGCTAAAGTCTATTAGGGTTGAGGAAATAATCGAAACATTCTCTCCCTGGTATAAAGCTTATTTAGTTTTCTCAGGATGCTTATTTCATAACGAATACGCTCACCACTTCTACGCCACAGAAGAATTGTAGTGGTCATCGTTTGATAGTAAACCTAATTCTGAGTTTATGTTCGGCCTAGGGAAAAGTTGAAATATTGGTCTCCAGTGAGAGATACACACGAACTCCAGAGTTTTGAAGGTCTGAATACTTATTATTTGTTGTGCAATAATAGCAGTGTACGAATAATTAGTGCTATTTCTCCTCTAACGGTGACGTTTGCTGGTTGCAGTGTAATTCTGTTCTCTTTTTCAAGTTCAACTCCAAGTACTGCAAGCGAAACTGACATGTGTGTGGAATGTAGACTGAAATACAATTGTTCGGTCTTGATATCTAGTTTCATCGCGACTCCAATTGGTGAACTAAGAAGTGGGACATACATGTGTTCTCAATATGGCTGTGGTTCTTGCTCCCTGACATTTTTAGTCACAAACGCCGAATGATTTTGAACCTAAATGCTGACTTCTTTGATATTCCTGATTTCCAAAGTATTTAAATTCCAAGGGAAAATATACGAACAAGCTGAGGGAGTTGCCATGGAGTCACCAATATCTCCGATTGTGGCAAATATATTCATGGATAGGTGGGAAAACATAGCGACTGAACACTCAACCCCACCCCAAAAGAATGGTGGGGGTATGTAGATGACACATTCACAATACTTAGAACACAGGATATAGATAGATTTGTCGAACATATTAACTCAAAAATGGAGGTAATTCAATTCACTTGTGAATTGGAAAGTCAGGAAGGGGAGCTTCCAATGTTAGATTGTAGCGTAAATACGAAAGAAGATGGGAAGTTAAACATTAGTGTTTACAGGAAATCCATACATTGAAATCGACACTTGGATTTCGGATCATCCCACCTTATGTCAGTATAAATAGGATTGGTAAGATGTTTAAGTAATGGGACACGAAAGCTAAGTAGTGCCAAGAAAAATTTGAGACAGGAGGTAATGCATATAAGAAAACTCTACAACTTAATAATCCCTCTGATAAATTAATCGGGAAGTACCTATGAAAATGTAAAAATAAAATAATAATAATGGTAGTGATAACGACAATAATATTAATAACGACATTCATGTCAAACATGCACTGAATGATTACAACACCAACAACAGTGAATTTAGATCATTAGTAGTAACTCCATACAAAGAAGGAACCTCGGAAACCTTACGGAGAATTCCTAACAATGCAATAAAAGTAGCATTCGGGATCGGATTCTAAGCACGTATTCCAGAAGGATGCAAACACTAGTGGATATTACTTACTTTCAATTATAGTTAGGCGTTTTGTATAAAATATGTGCGTTTTACTCAAAGATATTTAATTATAAAGGGTAACGAATAAGTGGACTTACATACCCAATGTGGTTGATGACATCTATACGCTTATCTGGTTGGTCAAGATGCTTAAAGAGATGAACCCGGCAAGATTCTTGATTTCTTGATGTTGGGAGTTCAGCAATTTTTATACCTGAGTAATCGAAACAAATGTTGTGCTCTAAATTCGAAAATAAGTGAGCATTGTACTGATCATACTTTTTTCTTCGCATAATGCCTTTGTGCCTGTGAATTCAGGTTTGTTTTCAGACTTGACTGTAACGTCTGCACACTTGACCTTTAGTTCATCTAATATACAATAGTTTACTAGCTATTAACGAGTACTTTCTTTCACACTGTGTGGTCCAGGCTCACAAGCATTAGCATTTTGTTTGACTTTTGGTTTTTCAACACTTTTAGAAGCAGCTTTTGCAGCCCTTTGCGCTTCCTAGGACTATAATTAAACGTCTTGACCACTTACTTGAATAGCTCTTCGTTCAGCCCTTAGCTGTGCCTTAGACTTACTGCTCTCAACCTTACACTCTGATCCATCCATCCGGTAGCGCACACTATTGTAATATCTGCCAAATTTCAGCACGTCGAATGTCCAACATATGTTAGCTTTTCTTTCCTTTTCTGTGAGATTTCATCCTACAGAGGTAATAATTATACATACCATGTTAAGAAGCACTGACGCGAATGAGTGACCGAGAAAATGCCATGGGAGCAATCAATCAGGCTGAGTCAAGGTAATTCAAGTAATACAAAGGGCATATTCGTGTTAAAAGTTTACAAAGCTATAATAACATTAAACAAGCTCCTAACTTACCACTTTTCAAGAGTAAACTTCACTTTCTTGTAGAGAAGTCATTATTAATTCAGATAACTCGTATGGTGGCAAATAGTTCTCCAAAATTACTAGAATACAGCATTCTTCATTCAACACTAGATGTTGAGCTTCACTATTTGAGCCGACTCATTCAGCTGAGAATTTAAAGTCAGGCATTTAATCTATGTGGCATGTTGTTGTATTGCGTTCGAGCTTTCCTGCATTATCCTTAGCTAGTTAAGCAGCCATCATCCTACTACGATTCTGGTCCCGAAATTTATCTCCTATTCTGGACTATCACTTTGGTGTTTTGATTTCTGTTTCGTCGAAGCCGAACAAGTTCTTTAGGAGTTTCAGGACAAGAGCTGACGTTGGTACAAGAATATCCTACGTGGAAATCAATATGCGTTCGTCTCCTAATCTATCGTCAATATTCAGTTGGGAGAGGTAAAAGATATTACTTAGGGTTACGACATGGCTTCAGGCAACTCCGCATCAAGTCATTTCCATTAGCCCTAATCACCATCAGTTATTCATAACAGTAATCGCATCTCTGTCTTAACATAGCCATTATCACCACCACTCCATCCTCCTGTCAGCATTTCTGTACAACGTTCTCTTCCGTGTAACGCTCGGAAGTCCCACTTGTCGTCTCCCAATGGTGTTCAAGTCTGCTGCCTGGTGCATAATGTCACCCAACTATTACAGTCAAAGTGTATCCGATTCATCTCCATTTTTTGGAATATCTGTTAAGCAATATATGATTGCTTGATTCATCCTCAGAGTTTTTCTTATTGCTGGTTCTTTCTGGCCATTTGATCTTCCCATGGAGCGAAAGGGCTGGCTGCTGATGAAATTCTGAAGTATACTGCTGAAAATGATCTTCGTGACGCTTCAAGTTTCTGACCCATTCAGAAGAACTGATGTAGTATTGGGTTCAAATGTCCGAAGTTAGATTTTCACGCTGAGCTCAGAAAAATTTCAAACTGGTAATAGAACAATCAGGGTCTGTATTAGAAATTAGGAATATCATTGGTGATAATGGACAGCCTTGTCTTACTCTTGTATTCACTTCAGACACCTCTTTGACTCTTCCGTTGTGGATTACTCGACATGTGGTATTGTCATATAGCTGTCGAATGACGTTGATAGATTCGGGGCACTCAGTAATGTTGAAGAAGTTTCCAAATTAATTCTCGGTCAACGCCGTCGAAGGCCCCTTCGAAGTCGATGAAGTTAAGCTGCAGGTTTGACTGTCATTCTCTGTTTTGTTCGGTGATGATGCATAGAGTTGTGATTCTGTCTTCACATGACTCGCATTTCCTGAATCCAGATTGTTCCTAGCAGTTTTGCATCCAGTGCATCTTTTATCCTCCCTAGGATGACGCGGCTCACTATTTTGTTTGGCGTGGACAAGCGCATGGCTCCGCTGCTGTTCTTGCATTGGACTTAGTCTCCCTTATTTGGTAGCCTTCTTTCTTTCTAAATTTTGTATATTAGTTGTGTGAGCACATCCGCTGCGGTATCTGGGTTCGTTTTCAGTCTTTGTGGAGGAATTCCTTACGGTCCCGAAGCCTTCTCAAAATTCAGTAGCTATAGGGCTTTGGATGTTTTTGATGAAATTATGACCGCCACTACCTCAGTGTGCTCGTGGTCGGCGTCTGGGCGACTAAACCGCAGTAGACCAGTCACTCTGCAGTTGAGATCAAAAATAATCCACATACGTCGAACCAGCTCTCACAAATTACTAGTAAAGTAAAGATATCGGTGGACTGGCTTGCCAAAGGCTTTCACCAGACGGTGTCACTTCGTCTCTGATTTCAGTGAGGGAATAGTTTTTTGGTGTTTGTGTTGTGCCTTGGGGTTCCCATAGTAACTTAATTTATTTTTCTGGGTAGGGCAGCTCGCCACATGCCTAACCCTCATCTTTCACGGAGCTTAGGACCGGCTAGGAGAGTAGCGAACTAGTTAGCTTGGCGAGTTTCTGTTCAACAGTAACAACGAAAAATATGTTTCACATTTTGAGGCGACTAGTTTTGTCATACATTAGCTCAATAAATCTAATCCTCTCCCATTCAAGCAAATTTATACTACATTAGCGAACGGCATTTTAGCAATATGTTGTCGCTGTATCATCTATTTTACCTAACACAGTATACCTCTGATATGTATCCACACATATATATTTATGTGTGTGTATGTTGGTCTCTCTTTCTGTTTGCTCGCTTAGTCTGTGACCATTTCACTTGTATAAACTTGTCTCCTTTAACAATGTATATTCCCCTTATATATAATATGAGTGTTTGTTGACAGTCCGTTGCTTAGTGACATATATCCATATATGGTGGTTGTTGACATGTCTGCTATATTTTGATATATATATTTCGTTCTCACAATATTGTGTGACTGACTTACACTTACTTTGGTGTGATACCACTTATTGCATTCTCCTTGTGTTTGGAAAATAGAAGTATCATCTCAAACCTAGTGGTCTTCTGATTTCGGCCTTCTTGCGTCAAGACTATTAAATTCTCGACCAGTCCATAACAATAGTTCAGCGACGAGTACATAACAATTTGGCGACGGGGAAAACTACTATTAACCACTCAGCAGCAGCAACATAACAACCTCGCAATATCCTATCCACTCATTTGTTTACTAACAACATTCAATACCAGTTTACTTGACCTCCTCCTTACTTTCTCACTTTGAGTTTTCCGTGTGCCTATATATACAAACTGGTCTTTAGTTTCCTTTCTTTTGTAACATTCTTCCTCATTTAACCGCGGTAAATCTCCCACTGTATATGAAATAGATTTGTCATTCTTTGCAGTTGCCTGTGGAATGCTTGTTCCTACGTTGTCACGGAAGTCTGCCGAGTTTCCCAACTATAATCAAACTACTTGTTGGGACACTAGGAAGAGTAATGAAGTTTCAGTAGATGGATTTAATTTCGTTAGCTTTCTCATATGTCTGCTAGCATTGGACTTTAGCCTGTCTGGATTCAAAGTTTAAAAAGTTTTCAGTCGGATCTTTTTTCCGCAGTCCTACAATAGCCAGCTAGCGAATTTTCGTAGTAGCATCTGTTTACGTGACACTTTTTTGTTTTGATATACTGGGTAGTAGTCACATGGTATGCACTGAAAAATTCTCAGAGTAGATTTCTGTTTGGTGTACTACATATATACATATATGTGGCAATAATAATATCGATAATCGTTTAAGTACTTTTGCAGAGTGAACTGTAGTGAAACTCTTCGATCGAAATGTAGAAAGGAGAAGCTTGGGATGTGTTAGTAATCTAGATCTCAGGCTGTATGGTGTGTTAAAGAAGCTTAAAGTTGCGCGAATTAATTCAACAGCCTTCTCTATCTATGCGCAAACATATTTCACTTCAGTGAGTGACCTTAAGCTTCGGACAACAACCTGTTTACACTCATCAGGAAGTTTTTGTATTAGTGCAGCACCCACTTCTGTTTGTGGTGTTCAATGGTTAGTCTAGGGACATAATATATGGGTACAAGGATTCCGTGAGCTCTCTGATAGGCTTTACTGTACTATTTTATTAAGACCTACCGACTGGGCGTATGTAACGGACGGCTCCGTCCATCACAACTTTGCGGAAAAACGGAGCAGTAGCTAATCACATCAGAGGAGGGAAGAGGGAACCTTGTCCGTGGATCGGTGGCAGTCGAGATTCTTTTAGGTTCTCTGTAGTGAGTTACAGTCACTTAACGTCAAGGATAACCACCAAATACCTTACGGACCATCAGGAGAATTCACGCGTTTCTGTTTTGAACTGGCACAAGCCATATTAATTCTGTTAACCCCCCTGGGGAGGCTGTGACTATCAACACATCATCCAAAAAGTAGTGTCAATGGAGTTGAAGATTGAACGATCAATTCTTGGTTGTTTGCTCAAAATCAACTTCCCCGATTTTCGCGGAGGCATCAATACGACAGTCATCGTCTCATCGGTCGCTGTTCAGAAAGAAGAGTGAAACATCGTCAGAAGTAATATAACGATTTATTATTGTAATATTTGTTTACAGACCTTAGTTCGTTTATTCCTTTTATATGTTGGTGTAACAATAAAGAAATAACAAGCGGCAGATCGGTGTTTTGGTTTTTGCGTCCGTTATTACTAAGCGTTTCTGAAACTCAAAGGAACAGCGTGGGCCCGAGCGTAGCGAGAGCTGGGCATTAACGGTTTATGAGACGTGATTGACAGTTTCTGACGATAGAAACAGATCTGGCGGATTCAAACAGTTGGTGAAAGTTTGGATAGTCACCGTTCATCTTTCCTGGTGCCGGTCAAGTCCTCTTTGAACAAGCAATATCTGGAACTCTTTTGGAATTGGGTCAAGTTCAACAATGCCTGGGTCAAAGAAGGGACAGAGTGTCTTGGATGCAAACAGGAAAGTAAGTCATGGTGACTTGTCTGTTAATTGTAACGATGTGTCTGATGTTAAGCATGACATGGTTGATGTTACTGTTTCGCCGTTCAGGGATAATAGGAACATCAAACTCCCTAGATTTGAACCACGGTGTTTTGATGGAAACCCGGCTGATTATTTACAATTTGTAAAGGAGTTTGAGATCATGTTGAGTGGTATTTTATTAAATGATGAATTGAAGTTAATGTATTTGATGAGATATTGCACTGGAGATGCTGCAAGAGCTATACAGTGTTGTAAGTTTATGAAGCCAAAAGAGGGCTACTACGAGGCTATGAGCATATTACGTCAAAGGTTTGGAAGACCTTCGATGATTGCAGGGAAATTATTCGAGGCTGTTAAGGGTAATGGTGGTCAATTAC